GATATGGGATCAGGAATATTTGTCTATGCTTACAGATACTATTTCTGAAAATGATATAATTTCCATTTTGTAAATATTTAAAATGTGGACCCACTTAATCTTTTATATGAGAAGAAAAACACTTGCAAGTGTTTTTGGATCCATGAAAAAAAAATCTTAAGAGTATATTCTGCTGGATTTAGTCCTTTAAAAAAAAAAAAAAGACTTTTTTAATCCAGTGCCCCAAGCGCTGAGCTGTTGCTTTTCAGACATGTATCCCAGTTCTTCATAAATTCATGAATTATGTTTCTTGTACCAGGGCACGTCAGTGCTTTCTCTGTCAGAGCTAACCAAGACTCCTCTCCAGAACGGTCTTTCCACCCCTCCGCTTCCCTCATCAGAGGCTTCCAGTACCCGTCTCTCTCCTCCCAATGTCTCTGCACTCTTGGATATTTCTCTGCCCGGGCCACCTGAAGATGTCCTTTCTCAAGGAGAGCCTGCCACTCAAATCAGTGATTCCATCATTGAAATAGCTATCAGCTCTGGTCAATACAGTAAGTCTGAGCTTAGTCTTCCTATTGAGAAATTTAAATGTTAGCAGAAACTTGCAAGTTCTTGTTTTTTTTTTATATCTATTGAAAAGTTAATTGTGTGAGTGACCTCTCTGTTCTGATGTATATGATTTTGTGGGATTTTTTAACAAAAATAATTGGTGCAATGTCCTGTAACTTTACCATGTTGACTGAATCAGTGACTCATTGGCTTACAGGTGAAGGTGTTTCTCTTTCTCCTGCAAAGCTGAATGGCAGCGACAGCTCCAAAAGTCTTCCATCTCCGTCCAGCAGCCCTCAGCAGAACTGGATTGCCTCTCCCAGCCACGATCCCCAGTGGTACCCCAACGACTCCACAGACTCGTCTCTCAGCAGCCTGTTTTGTAAGTGTCTGCTTGCAGAGAACTGCAACAAAAGAACTTTTCCCTTTCCAAAAAAAAATTGTTTATTAGAAGTGAACCTTTTGAAAAATAGGACATTTAGCAGGATCTTTGTAGAATTTTTCCTGTGTTTCTTGCTTTTGGTTTGTGATAGCTTTGTCTTGAATGTATTTGCTTTTTCTTTACAAATCTTTTGCTGAAATTATCCTATTGCTAGATTGGGGCAAGAGCCTATACCCTGGGGCACGTAATTCCTTGGCACTTCTTTGTAGTCTGCTTGGAGCCTGACTCATGAGTTAGGCTGAGACGTTTTGGCTGTTCTGCCAAAGCAGAAAGATGCCCTTGGCTCTGCTGTGGGATCACAGGCTTCACTCTGTGCTGTGAGCATGGTCTCAAAGAGATGAGATCACTGGGTTTGTCTGGGGGTTTTGTGAGTTAACACTCGATGGTGCCAGTGAAATGGGGGTCTCTGTGCCCTGAACAGAAGGTGTTCTTGTTCTAACTTTCAGGGGAGAGCAGAAACAGATAGTTACCCCTCATTTTCTGATCCCCTGTCATCCTTGGCCTCTCAGTTACAGTGAGTGCAGTGACTTACTGGGGTGCCTGTTCTTTACAGCAAGTTTCATCTCCCCTGAGAAGGGAAGAAAAATGCTGCCCACTCCTGTTGGCAGCGCGAGCGGCACCTCCTTGCTCGGGCCCAGCCTCCTGGATGGAAACTCCCGGGACTCTTTTGTGTCACGCTCCCTGGCAGATGTAGCAGAGGTACGTCACTACGTTACATTCATCCGGGCTTCTTTTTTAGTGCAGTGCTCTTGCATATTATTTATCATATGGCACTGTGAGGAGGAGCCGAGGGTACTGGCTTGTTCAGACGGAGAGGAGAAGGCTGCAAAGGGTGAAGGGGAGCCTCACAGATGGCTTCAAGTTGCACCAGGGGGAGGTTCAGGTTGGTATTGGGAAAAATTTCTGCACAGAAAGAGTGGTGAAGCATCGGAACAGGCTGCCCAGGGGAGTGGT